AAATCAACTGTTCATCCGCTCCGAGCACGATCGGACGAGATTTTTTTGTCTTGCTTAATCATCATTACACTCGACCTTGGGGTCCTGGGACGGTTGAATTTCCTTTTCCACGCGGCTATCACAGACCGCTGGCCGCGAGCTCGATACCGGTTTCCTATCACATGCTCTCCACCCAGCCCTCTCCCCGAGTCAACACTCCCTGCCAACCCTCTCCGCTCAACCATCCCCGTTCAATACCCCGCAAGAAGGAGGGAAAGCAACAAAGCAAGACAGAAAACAAGAGCGAAGGAAAGAGAGAATATCCCTGCCACCCGTGTTTTCCATGTCCTCCTCTGCCGGCAGCCCCTCTCTTCGTTCGTCCAGTCGATAGGCTTTATCTCTTTCTCGCACTAGTTCTCACGCTTTCCAGTTTACCGGCGATGAGGCCGATCATCCATGACTCGGTGACTAAGCTGGAAGAAGTGGGGAGGAGAGAGGTGCGGTCTCTTTCCCCAGCTTCTACGATTGGACGAGATTTTCGGGAGCGTCATGGGTCTGTATTCGCTTTTGGTCCTATCAAGTGCGGAAACCCCGGTCACGCACATGCGGGCTGAGATTTACCCCCGGGAGTGTCTACTTCCTCCCAAGTCCTCTCTCGGTATATTGGGCCTCTGCTACTTCGATTGAAGATAAACAGGAACGTCGAGAAGCGGTGCGGAGAGGAAGGCGAAAAGTAAGTACGGTCCGTAGTTGCGCCTAAGGTTAGGGTTCGCTGCGTAGTCCTCCGTTTTGGCGGTAATAATTCACTTTCGGATCCAACCTGAGACAGTTCGCGCGTGGCAGACACGCAAGGGATGAGGGAAATTATTATTATTGTCCTCTGCTGCTGCTCGGAGAGCCATCGAGATTCCCATGGCTCCTTTGCCTAACCTGGCTTAGCTTAATAGGCTCATGGTAGCTCCCTTCTTCTCCAATCTCTTCCGTTTATGACCCCTTTATTAGCGCTTATCTTTATATGTTATCCATCAATCCGCTGTTATCCATCGATCTTATCTACACATCTTATCGTACATCCCCCTTCCCTCCCCTCTTAGGTAAGGCAGACGACACTACTGCCCAGAGAGCAATCCATCTATACGGCTGTATCAGGTACCCTCTCCCAAGCATGTACGATTATCATAACCACCGACATCCAACGACGCCGCGATGCCACCACTTTCAGTTTGGGACCCCCTTCAGGACGGATTGCTCGAACCATCCCACTCTGCGCCTTAGTAATCAATTTGTATGAATACGAGCTTTATCCATCATAATTCATTCAAATCGAGACATACTTGGCTAACTAAGCTCACTAAACGAGCGTATGGAAGCAGAACTAAAGGAATCATTGAAAAAGCATCCCTCCCGCAATACCGTATCCCATAACGTCCTCCATACCGCCTACAAGAAAACCACATGACCATGAACCGATCCTCCTTCTCCACACCCCCGGAAACCTTTCCACCGTCCCCCTCCCCCTGCCCTAGCCCGCTTCCTCCGCCAAGAGCTACCGTGACATTTGCGGCAACGACCTAATCCGCGCCACAAGTCCCCGTGTCGCCGTTATTGCACTTGCTGCTCGGGCCGTAGGCGCAGCACCCACCGCGGGTATTACACTCGAACGCCCAGTCCCTGTAGTCCGTTCCGGGATAGGCACTCGTTCTAACCCACGTCGGTGATGTATCCGCAGCCCCAGCAGTAGACGCCGGGGTTGGACACCGGGTAGCACTTGCAGCCGTTGTTGATGCAGGCACGCTTGGACAACTCGGGGGCGGGCGCCGCGTCGCGCCGCAGGAGTTGCGCCCCGCTGGAGTCGCCGTCGATTGGTGAGGCGTCGCAGTAGGAGAGCAGCAGGAGGAGGCCGAAGAGGCTGAGGAGGAGGTGGTGCATCGCGGTGTACATGGCTGCTGGTGTGGTGGTTGTTGAGGTATGCGACTGCGAAGTGAGGACTGTTAGTGGGTGGCCGTGAGACTGTAAACCCGGAACACAGGGTATTGTACTTGCGTTTGCTGGTCTGGATGCGGGAGTTTAAGTTGCTGTTTGAGTCGCTTTTGGAGTCGCTTTTGGAGTCGATGTTGGAGTCGATGTAGGATGGATTGCCAGAGACGGAGAGGTGAGTATTTATCCTCCAGTCATGCTATGACCGTGAGAGTCTTTCGCTGTAGCATTCATACGATCTCTTCCAAGAATCGCTCTCCTAGAGCTCGCCGACGGCTTCCCCGCTCCGCACACCAGCAGAGGCACCACTCCCGGTGCACCACGCAGCACCGTGCTGCTATCTCTGGCATCAACCGGACATGAATACGAGGTCCCACCGGCCAGCCAGGCAGAACCAATCCTGATTGAGCTCCTCTCGTCCAACGACGCAATGACACTTATGCATCGTAAGCCAGCCATGGAGAGGTTTTTAGGATGGACACCTCGTATTTCGTATTTGGGGCTGAAGCTGAACATTCGAGCCCTGGACGAATCGTACATGATGCATTGAGCTTGATTCCGTTGGCACTCAGCACCGGTCCGCGGCCTGTGTGGGTATCGAGTTAAAGTCACGGGGGGAGGGTGCGTGGAATTGCGGGAGTGCGGTGGTTATTCTCAACGAGTCCAAGTGTTCCACCATTGTCAAAAAATTCTGATCCGGACGGATAGAGAAGATGTTGACCCCCGTGTAAACCGTAGGCAGCGAGGTAAAGCGGACAACTATGGCCGACCTACCTACAGCATGATAGGTATATCGGCTACCGGATACCTTCCGCAGGCCGTAGGAGATGTATCGGTATATACCTCCTCCACCCCAGGAGCGGTAGCCAGTGACTTCATCGGAGCACTTACCCCGCGCCGACCGCCTGTGTCTATTCTTTGCATTTAGCTATTCATATCTTCCGGTCTAGTCTTGCTCTGCAGACCACAACAGCCGCGGTGCAAGTGGCAAACCAATGCCTGCGCATATGTCTATTCCGTGGCTGAAACGTGCAGACACCGATCATGGCACCCCTGCGGACGCGAGTGAGCCAATGGCATACATACTCCATCTACATTTCTGCAACCGGCGAACTGCGGCGATTCCCATATGGTGTAGACTCGGTACCAATTGCATTGCGGTGACGAGACGGAGTATTTCATTCGGTATTTAGCAGAGGGCTACAGCCGGGAGACAAAATCAGTACAGACGACGGGACTAGTTGCCTGGGTACCGTGGTACACGAGGACTTTTCGGACCTATAAAAAATAATCAATTGCGGAGCGTAAGACACCAGGCCGGACGGAGTGGAGGCCGCAGGAATACGCTGCTCGATGAGTGGGCTTCTGTTTGTCGTTCCAGCATACATGCTCGCAATTATCATACAGAACATACCTACGTCATAAGTGCATCTGCCAAATCCCATCCATCATCGCTGAAGCCCTGGTATGTCCCGGGCCCGGTGCCCGTACCCCCATCTCCCCGCCTACGGCTGGGCCACGGGAACTGTATGTATGCAGCGCAGTACAAGAAAAGAAAATAAAAGAAAAGAAAACAAATTGTCGGCTGAGTCGGCTCACGTCTGACCCTTTCTTGCGCGCCGGGCAGCCCGCCAGCCCCTCATACGGGCCACCGTCGCTACTTATGTGCTAGTACATCCTACCCGTAGATTGAATATCCAGAGGAAGCTAATGAAAGTGCCGGTACGATGCAGCGAAGCGGTTTGCAATTCCCAAAAACGACGGGTCACGGGGGTGGGCAGGAAATCCCCAAGGATCAAATTTGGAGTGGTCAAGAAGGGAACGACTCGTGAGGCCTCCGCAGCCACGCAGAAATACGCGAGGCGCACACGTGTGTGTGGAAGGGGGTGGGATTGGAATGTGTGCTGTATGATGTACGACGGGAATCGTATCCAAAGATCTGGGTCACGTGGGTAAGAAGCTCGTCCCCTCGCCCAGTCTCAGGGCTGACGGCGTACTAGCCCAATCTAATCTTATCTCATGGTAGATACCCAACGGCGGAGGAATGATACATGTTTCATTGGTGCGTGCGCCACAGTCGGGTAAGGCCGCATGCGGAATGGAACTGAACCCTGGTTGAATGGGTCGCCGCGCCACATCAGCCCCGTGGAGAGCGCCACACCCGTAATCCTTCCCGTCTGACTGTTCGGTGACGATCGCGTTGGCCACTTGGTGACGAAAACGAGTAAAGCTCGGCACAGACAACGCGTCGACAAAGTAACTCGGAGAGAAGGAAACACCATGGCTGCCATAACCTCGGACCAGGTGAGCCTCCTGTGATGCACATGTGTGGCGGGAATGTAGTGCGGATATGTGGTGCTGATTCGATGCACAATGCACGGTAAGAGAAACCGGTCATAGAAGTGGTCAATATTAAATAGGTTTGCCCGGGAAACGCATCTCTGTACATATAATGAAAGCCCCCCACCGCTCATACAGAATGGTGTGATACGTAAATATGTAACTCTCAGCCACTGCCCTTCCATCACACTTCACTCGCGCGCCACCTCCGCCTTACCATTACACCACTAAGTGCTTGCCTCTGGCACTGCCGGCAATCTTTTGCTTTGCCTATTGTCCCAGCTTCAGATCATTTTACTGCGGCTTAACATGTGTCTTTTTTCCCAATTGCAGTGGAGTTACCTCTCCAACCTCCTTTTGCCACGGAAATTTAGCTGCCACCTGAGAAAACCCGTTTGCTAGCTGACCCGCTTCCCTGCGAAACCAAATTTGCAAACCTATTCTACGGACACATATTTTGCATTAGGTAGCTTAGCCGATCCCCAGATCATCCTGGGAGTGAGGAAGCCAGTGCCGATAATCCAGGGACCAACGAGCGGGTATTAGTCTAGTCCCATCCCGTGTTTCAAACTGATACCGTCCCATGGCCATCACTACACCCGTCTTTCTCGGCGGGTATGACATCGGCTCCCTTCTCGGCAAGCAGCCGTACCACTGCCTTGTGCCCGTTTTGCACGGCTAGATCCAGTGGCATCCGATCATCGTTATCGGCAGTTGACACTTGCGCTCCTTTCTCGATGAGCAGCCGGGCCACCGCTTCGTTCCCGAACGCGCAGCCAGATGAAGTGGCGTCCACCCATTTTTGTGGCGGCGTCGACGTTCGCTCCCCGTTCAACGAGCAGTCGGGCTACTACATCTAGTACCTTCTCTAATGCCCGATACAGTGGCGTCCGCCCATACTTATCGGCAACAGAGACATCGGCTCCATTTTTAACAAGCAGCCAAGCCATCGACGAGTCCCCCAGTTGCACAGCCAGATGCAGCGACGTCAACCCGCCTTCATCGCCGGCCGAGACATCAGCACCATTCTCGACGAGCAGCCGGCCAATGCCTCGTCTAGCACATCATGGCCACGTGCAGCGGTGTCCGCCCGCTCGTGTCGGCGGTTGAGACATAGGCTCCGGGCCATCGATACGTCCCTCTGTTGCAACGGCCAGATGCAGCGACGTAAACCCGTCTTTATAAGCGGTAGACAGATCGGTCCATTTCTTGACGAGCAGCCGAGACACAAAATCTAGTTGCTCGCTAACAGTGTTCTCCATAGTCCGGTCCGGACTGCAGTCTAGACCAGGACGGCCTGCCAAGATCTAGTCTCATCCGTAACTTTTTGTGGATGGAATAAAAGTAGTCCGTCCCGTCCGCCAATTTCAAGACGGGGTTGGACTGCAGTCGACTCCAGTCCGGTAGTGAAAACAAATGCCACTATTTTCATCACTTACCCCACGAACTTTGATAGTATTCCCCACTCTGGTGTGTTCAAATTCCGTCCAGTACCAGCAAAACCGTGAGCGGCGACACCACCTTCGTCCCGCACCAGTACGTCCGCGCCACAATCTTCGTCCAGTAGCAATAATCTGCGCCACAATCTGCGCCACAATGTTTGTTTAGTACCATGAACGCCGCGCCGTAATCTTGAGCCCATGCGCATATGCTTCCTCAGCCACTATAAACCGCCGATAATATGCCGCGGGCTTTCTATCGTGATTTCTATCGCTTGCACTAGTCTTGGCAGTCGATTGCAGTCCGTCCCGTCCGACCATACTGGTGGACTAGTCCGTCCGACAGACACCTCCTGACGGACTGGATGTATGTAGTCCAGTCCAGTCCGAGGCTCAGGGCGGGCGGATTGGACTATGGAGAACACTGCTCGCTAATGCTAGACAAAGTAGCATCTGCCCATCGTTATCGACGGCTGAGACGTCGGCTTTGTTCTCGCCAGAGAGCCGAGCCACCGCCTCGTGTCCGTTCTAGACGAGCAGCTGAGCCACCGCCTCGTGTCCTTTCTCCCATGCCCGCTGCGAGGACATCATCCCGTCGTTTGTAGCCGCCGATCTTCTCCCATCTGTGATCCGGGTTGAGAGATCTACTCCCTTCTGAATGAGCAGCCGGGTAACCGCCTCGTGCCCCCTTTCTACTGCCCTATGCAGCGGCATTCTCCCATCTTTGGTAGCGAACGAGATCTTGGCTCCATATTCGATGACCAGCCGGACCAGTGCCTCGTCGCTCATCTCCGAGGCGGCGATGCAACGGGGTCCAACCCTCGTGGTCAGTGGCGGAAAACGAAGGCCCCACGTCTAGCAGCTTACGGAAAAGATCCACGTCTCGTAATCTGCACGCGTGGTGAAGTAACTGGTTGATTCGTGGCATCTCCAATGGTTTGGATTTGAATACACTGGTAAACCTCCGCTTGAAGCCCGAATATTCAAACCGAGGCAAGTACGTTGTTTCTTACACGGTGTATTTCTATGGTCCTTTTCCAAAACATGCGTCTGGCGGGTCGCCACATAACTCTCCTGCCATGATATTCACGCCATCGTTGGTAGTTTTGCCTCTGACAATGAATGAATCCCAAAGAGGAGTCAACATTTCATCTTCGCAATGGGCCGAAATGCCACAGCCAAAAGACCGCCGAGTATATCAAAAAGTGGCGACCGAGATACTGCCTTCACTTGTAAGGCTAGTTCTGTCGTAATCAATCCAAGAGTCCGAACTGCAGAGGAGCGAGGGGCAGGCTCTCGCGATCTGGGTATGGGAGTCGATCTTGCGCAGCCGTGTCTCCACGTATTCGTCGACGGAAAGATACGCAAACCGGAAAACGTCAAGATCTTTGTCCAGGACTAGCAGATTCTGACAAGCCTTTAACAGGTCGTTCGCATTAACCGACAGATCGTGCGAAAAGCCACCCCGGCAGTCGACCTCCGCCATGATCGCATCGAGCAAGGTTTTGCATTAAATCAGCTCGTGGGAAGACTGAATCCCCGGGACGCATTTAGTGCAAACCGCGAAGCGCTGCCTTTCTGCGTGAGAATGCGCTGGGAGGTTTCGTCGTCGTACGCAGCGGTGAGGATTTCCGGTAGCACCCTTGAGACTGGGTCTTACGTCGTTTTGCGTGGCCATATCGCAGAGAAAGGCGATCTGAAGTGCGGCTAGTTGTAACCTGAACCGTCAGTTTTCTCCGCTTATAAGTGACTGGAGTAGTTACGGTAAACGTACATTCCCTTGGATCGCTGACGAAGGAGGTTGCATATATCGGCTTGGAGCCCAGGACACCATGGACTAGTCACTCCTCGTCAATGGCCATCTGAACATTGCTTTCTATAAACTCGTTGATGTCGCCGACATTGTCATCAGGTTGCAACTCGATGCGGGGAAACATCGCAAGCTGCAGCAGAAATATCAGTGTCCATTCGGGTGGTTGCAAAGATCTTGACGAAATTCTTCGATTTTTCGACGACATACTTCAACGACTTGAGTAAATCTATCCGGACTTTGCTATCGACTTCGTCCAAGGCATCAATGCAAATTGCCGTCTTCAAATATATGTAGGTTAGTCAAACAAGAAGCTCCCGGCTTTCTGCAAGGCTTAGTCTTGGCTTTTTTTTGCCCATTTTTCTCCCTCTCCTCGTTGACATGAACCACCGCTTCAAGAGTGTGTCCTCTCCGGACACAGTCCGGGCGAGTTGTTGAATGAGAGTAATGAGAATACTTTCCGGATTTCGGCGATTATCCTCGCTCGATTGAGGTAGAAGTATGCTAGTCTCTCGGGGGTTGGACTGGAAACAAAGGAATCGATAACGCGTGATGCGATGTATGTCTCGCCCGCTCAAGCTAAACGACCGGTGAGTCAAGACATCCGGCAAAAGGGAATCAACACTTACGAATGCCCGTAAGAGCAGCAGCTTGGAAATACTGGATGATCTCCACTCGCAGTGCTCCCTCCTCTCAAAAAGCCATTCGCAAGTGCCTTCCAAGCGGGTTTCACTGGTTCGCGTATGGTGACTTGAGTAAGGGACAGTGGATATGCATTGCAACCTCCGAGTCACTAGAATAGAGTGAAAAGGTGAGTACAGGCGTAACTACACTGTGGGGAATCGGCTCGCTTTCGTACCCGCAAGTGTTCGCTGCATGTTATCGATTTGAGGTCCAAGCCGTGATGACTTCATGTCTTCGGAGTCCTCCAGCAGCGTCTGAAGTCTCTCGAACCTTATCCGCGTAGCTGAATCGCGTCAAAATTTGAATGGTTCGTGAGGCTGACCAGAACTGGGTTATACGTACATTGAGCTTCGGCAACACAAGCATCGCGTGCAACCGCTTCCTCCAAGTCCTTGACATCATTAATGTAGTTGGAGGTTTCCCCTGTCGTGAATACCGCCTCGAGGTGGTTGTCTAAGGAAGGATTAGCGGTGGCTCCTCCAACGGCTACTGTCCGCAAAGAATACTATGCCCCTTTCAATCTCACTATGGACTTGGCCAGGAATTTCAAGATTGCCGTGTACAGCCGGAGTATTGACTTCTCTAGGTTTTGAGAAGCCTCCGTTGTTTTGTTTAGATAGAGATGCTCGTAGATCGCGCACCAATCGGTGATGCAGACACTCTTCTCAAGTCCACCAGGATCGCGTCTACCGTTTTCCTGCTTATCCAGCAAAGCTGTTGGGTTTATCGTCAGCGGGTTTTTCTTTAATCGCAAGTGGTTGAAACCAAATTTCACCTGCAGCAGGAATCGGAAGCCCGCCCACGGCAGCGCAGCGTGTCCGGGGTCGTATTGGACGACAATGTCCCCGATGTCCTTGAATCTCTGAATCCACCGCCCGATCTTCATGGCAATATCTCTCAAGACAATATCATCGCCTTTGAACGAATCTTCCGATCCTTTCCTTTTCTTTCCTCCATAATCCCATTCGTCATGGTCCCCAAAGCGGCCGCAATCTGACGGGTGTCGGTGTCGATGCGAATACCCGAAAGCGCTCGGCACTCGTGCGCAGACAGCTCACCGCTGTTGAAAGCCCTACTCCACAACGATGGGGCATCGCCACCGCCAGCCGTCGATGTCGGTTCGTCTTCGTTTCCATTCTGCACGTGTGTCGCATCGACCACCGGAGCCGTGTCATTTGACATGGCCGTGTCCTGTGTCGCATTCGTCACCGGGGCGTATCCTTCGACATCGCCGTACGCTTCGGCGTCGCCATGTCCTGCGCAATCGCTGCATTCGCTGTGATTACCGTGTCCGTCGTCGTCGTGTGCGTCACATCCTCGTGTTTTGCGTAATCGCTGCAATTCGCTACGGCCACCGGGTCTGCCGTAGCCGTGTCTGCCGTGTCTGTGTCCGCCATCGTATCCGTCACCGGAGCAGTGTCCTTCGAGGTGGCCGAGTCCTGCGCAATAGCTGCATTCGCCGCGGCCACCGTGTCTGCCGCCGCCGTTAAGGATGTTAGCCCGGGCTGACTTGACGGATCAGAGGGCTGCGTCGTCGGTTGCACCCCCCGATTGCGGCTCTGCCGAGGATCCTGTCGACGGGACAAGCTGTTGAGTCGAGGGCGAAGGTACTCTGGTCGGGGAAGCTGCTAACGTGAAGTGTAGTCCCACCGGTGAATGTGCGCTTACGGCTGGCGACTTCGATCGTCCGATTTTCAAAGCCCGCGCGTAATCGATCTCGTTTCCTGGCCGTGCCGGGAGCCATTTTTCGTGAAACGATCACGATGCGTTTCGCCGGCGATGGATGACCGATGTAGCTGTGTAGTCGCTAATTGGTCAAGATTTTGAATGAAAGATCGTCGCCGTATGGAGCTGCAGAGGCTCAGTTCGCGGTTTGCGGGGTTGTGTGTCGACGAGTTTCCAGTCAGGCTTCCCCTCACTTTGATCTTGAGCACAATCGGGCGACTGTCATACATAGAACTAATAGGCGTTTGGGAATTCCTATTGTATTATGCCGCGCTAGTTACTGCTGCGCAACATCTACAGACCTGGGGCCAGCCGGCTGGCCGGTGCTGCGCACGTACCAAGAATTGCCAGAGAGTGAGCACTCGCGTGAAATATAAGCGGGGAACCCATGAATATGATAGGACGCTGGGAGGCCGAAGCGTGGCGCAACCCTGTAACTGTATCGCAATACTGTGTAGAGAAAACATTCACTGGTGGTGCTTCTTTAACAGTTTCTCTTTCTTATTTCACTGCTCGGCGTTATCTACGGCTGCGGTATGTACTAGGGATCTAGAGTATCTGGGATGAAGACTTGCAAGTGGCAACTACCTAACTACTATGGAATCTGGATCGCGATAACCACGAACAGCAACGCAAGAAACGACCGAAGCCCGCATAACTTACCCTTATAGGTACATTGACTGCTCAGATAGCTTCAAACATGGGGCCCGTAGTCGGTCCATCGCGATATAAAAAAATTCCCGTTGAGTCTCAGGAGTCCGCAGGTTTCTATACCCCTTCCCGGTGATGAATACGTTACAGACCACTAGATACCCGGCCAGCAACAGGAGACAGGGAACCTTCGGACAAACATGCAAGATCATTTGGACGTGCGAGGCTTAGACCTCGGTCCACTACACTTCGAGTTCCGTGTATTCGATGATCACATGCGATGTTTCGGGTTCCTGCGTGGTCGCCGAAGGGGCAGCAGTCAACGAACGATGAGGCGGCCGAGCACTGACTTCTGGCGCATTGTATCGATAAGTGATCGCTTAAAAAGAAAAGAAAACAATCCTATCGCAAGGTGTAACTGACCAAGCCGTTGTGGCAGAGCATCTCCATCAAATCGCTGTGGTAAAAACTCCTCGTAACGTAAAGAATAACGGCAATCGCGAAAACTGCCGTTCCGACGCAAGTCAGTCTCCATAAATGCCGTTCCATTTGAGTCCGAAATTCCAGGTTTTAAGCCGCCATATAGAGCCCAGCGATGACGATTATGCATCATAGCCCTACGATGAACATAGTACGAGAATTCTCCTGACGAAGTTGCAGACTGTGTAGTAGCCTCGCCTTCTGTTGGCATTGTTTGGAATCTGGTAGAGAGTTGCTGTATCTAGTCCGGCCAATGAGGGAGGTGTTGTAAATCACGTAAACCACGATTTTATGGACGGCTCTGTCGGATGTGGCGGATCGGCTCCGGCGGCGGCCGTGATACGGCAATGTGTTCCTGCTGATGAGGAACCTGGTTATGCCCAGCAATGCCGACCGCCTCCATCATCAATCACGACTAGTAGCCCTTCTTCGCTGAGATGACGGATTGAATGCAACGGAATCTCCTCACCGAAATCAGCAAGAATGGGTGTAGCCGTCGGAGACAGGTGCGGAGTCACGTCATCCGTCATCCGTCTGTTGCATCGCCGAGTGAGGCTGGCGGCTGGCAACGGTTCGGTTAGACCCTCTTCTTGAGGTCAAGGCGACCGAGCTCGTTGAAGTCCGTTGGCTTCCGCCACCAGCACAAAAAGATGAGCATTGTGCAAGCTACCTGTATCCGAAGTTCAGAATATGAAATTCTAACAGAATAAACTCAAGTTAAGGGCGGTTTCTTCATCGGGGGTGCTGCCTCGATACTGAAGAGATTGAACCAACAGCCACAAAGTCTGCAAAAAAGGGAAGATCTTCCCGATATGAATCGCATTGTCTTCGTCCACGATTTCGTGGGCATTGAATTGTAGAGGTTTCTCGAAGTCGTCAAAGTATCCTCGGCCGGTACGGACATCAATACAGCCCGAATGAAGATCCGGGAAGTTTCCGATAGCGGGGGATGGTGTTCAAGTGTGCACCTACGGTGCCAAACGCAGATCACGAACGTGGCAGTGCGGCTGAAGACGATGCTCCAATTATACGCGACCGGCGAGCTCCGTACATAGCGAAGGTCATGTCACCGAGGGAGGTGGCATGCATGCATGAACCTGGACGCCGGCGGCGATATCCTGGTTTGTACATATTACCTCGTGAGTGAGATATGACGGTAATTGCGGGGTAGGCCTGATTCAGCCAAGTCAAGTAACCACCATCACCGACGCGAACGTTTTACCCTAAACGCGCTGACACGTATGTCTCACAATTTAACCAACCCGCACCAAAGGCTCTCAGTTCACCTTAATTACAAACGCCCGTTTCCATTTCTCGGTTACAATCCCAATTTTCAGATACATACGATTAGATTCATAAGCGTTCATAGGCAACCTAATGGGAGACCATCCTAGTTGAGTAGGGCACAAGGACACCCATCCTCCAGACCTGATCAGGTAACGATCGCCTCGGGGCCCGGGTGGCCTGCAGCTGAGTTCAGAAGCTTTGCGAGAGCGGCGCTCTAATAGGTATCGATACTCGCATAGGGGTTTCGCAATCGGAACGGCCGGGACTATCTGAGGCTGAGGGGGAAGGTCCGCGCAAGGATCGACTTGAAGGCCTTCAGAGAAAGGTGACGTTGCCTGCGAGAAGTTTCAACTGAAGCCAATCCAGTGTTCTCCGTAGACCAGTCCCGACGAAATTTGGGTATGGTCTGATTGGGTCGGGATATATCACGACCGACCAGGCATAGGTTGGGACAAGTCTGACTAAGAAATAACATTTAACGTCGGAAAAGCTCTAACAACCGGTAGAAACTAAGAAAACATTTGCAGCTGATAGAATTAACAGTTAACCCAACGTCGGCCGACCTAGGCCAACCGAGCCGGGCAAGGTCTGGTCGGATCTGCTTGATTTTATCCCGACCTATCAAAGCCACTGTCTGGTCGCGATATATCCCGACTGACTTAGACCGCTCGGCCCACCGGTCTGGTCTATGTAGAACACTGAGCTGCCCATCTAGATGCCTACGCAGGGGGCTGATACATATTACTCTATGTACTCTACTAAATACGATGTCCTGATTTCGAGAACCATACATATGAGAACGTGAAGCGACATCTGCTTGCGGTCCTCCAAAGTACTGGGACTAAGTCGTACAGATACTGTTACGTAAGTAAAAATGTGTGAGCAATCGCGAGCTCATAGCGGTACATATGTAGGAGAATAAGCTATCGATCTTGCCGACTAACGTGGTGCGGTTGAAATTGATTTTGTCTTGCAATCATGCATAAATTCTACAAGCACAAGACAGATGTCACTCTTTCACGGGGCGGGGCCATTGAACGCCGCATGGACGGATGGGGGTACTCTAGTTGAACGTCACCGCCACGTTGTCGCCGTGAATAGCCGAGTAACTATTATCATATGTCGGCATGTTTGTGCTCCACTCCGCCATTGCAGAATCTAGATTGACACTGACGCAACGATGTGTGTCTGTTTGACGACCTCCCCGCACCGCGTCACCGAATCACGGACCGTGGCATCCGGGAGCCGTGGAGTGCGCTATCCGCAATCGATAATGACCCGTCACCCTCTCATCGCGTGGTTCCGTTGTAATCGTTGATCCCTTGCGCTAGGGAGGAGCGGGAAGCTAGAATACATCTTTAAGAAGTTCAATATCGGCAGCGGATGGATTCAACCCCCATTGGCTGCTCGTGGCTCTTGTCAAATCACTGAGTGGGGGGGAGGGCTCAGGAAAATATATTTTCACATAAGCCATGCTAAGCGATGGCATGCCGCATAGCTCACCTCGCGGATGGCTAAGATTGTCTTGCATGGTGCGTTTACCGTGGTCAAGAATAGCTCAAGCTGCGAAAAACAGACGTATCACCCCACCGACCACTCCAACACTGCCATCGCCCTGTGCTGTGGGACACGAGACAGCTGTACCAGTTGACGATGGTGAATGGCCCGTCTGGCCAGCTGGCCGGTTTCAAACGTATATACCTCCCGAGTTGCTACACGTGGCGGCGAGGATGCTGATAGAAGTCGGGACGGCGCTGGTCCGAGGAATGATCGATATCAGTGGTGGTGAAAAGAGTACTCTACATACGCTGTTGCTCTTCCATATTGCTGCCGCTAGGCTGCTGATGGATGCGGTAACGGCGCCAGCACATCTGCAAGTCACGCTGTGCTTTTAGGTAAGCCACATGAACCCGATGTTCTTCCGTACATAGGTAAGCCAATAACTGTTGCGGCAAAGGTGAATCATTGATGCCCTCGACGAGGCAATCTAGAGACTCGGGCATTCGTCAGAGGTCTTCGCCATACACACCCACAGACTAGAAAGAATTATTGTCAGAAAACCGGGGTCACCTCAGCCGAAAACCTAAAAGAGGGTTGCGAGGCGGGATTCGGGGCATCCCTGGTTCCTTCAATATTCGCCCTTCGCTCAAGGACGGTTTACTTCAACTTTATCGACAACAACTGCTTCTTCAACTTTATCGAAAACAACTGCTTCCCGATGTCAAAACGCCAGAAATCCGACCACCATACGCGAGCGCCTCCGCCAGTGCCAAGTGTCAGGCTATCCGGTGCGACACCGTCCACGCACCCAACAGACTCTAGTCGCAGGTACCAGGGTACCACACACTTGGAGTTTAGGGGAGGGGAGTTTCATGGCGGGCAGAACTTCTATTCCAACGGGTGAGTCTCGGGACTACGTTTGGAGATCGCATATTCTACTTAGTTCGAGTAGAGTGGATTTAAGGATGGCTAACCGGAATTCGCTAGCAGTTCCGACAGTAAGCGACGTTGCTCGATCAAAAACACTTTACTACCCTCCTGGAACTAACTTTGAGCTTTAGCCCCCGAGTCGAAAATGTTTGCGCTGTCTCTACACTTCCGACTATGAATCCCACAAGGACAGAAACCCTAAGCGAGTGGATGGAACGCTTGAATGGTTTCTCCGTCACGAAAAGTATCGGCACTGGCAAGAAAAGATTCGAGTCTTCTATGGGTGACGGCAGATCCGGGATGCGGAAAAACCATGCTGGCCGCATTTCTAGTGGACGAGCTGAGTGTCCACTCGGAACCTCGCGACACCGTCTGCTTTTTCTTCTTCAAAGATGACAATCAGGAACAGAATCTGCGACATTGGCTCTTTCCGCCCTCCTCCACCAGCTCTTTTCGGCGAAGCCATTCCTTCTCCGGCATTCCTTGAAAGATTACAACGACAAGGGCGCGAAATTTACAGAACAATTCGGTTACGCTGTGGCGCATCTTCCGGGCAGCAACCACCGACCCGGACTGCGGCAATGTCATTTGCATCATCGACGCTTTGGATGAATGCGAAGAATCGACTCGAAAGTCCCTCATCGATTCTTTAGTCAGCAGCTACACACCAGCGATCGGCACAGGGCGCAGCACGGGCGAAACGCTTCCAAAATTCATCCTCACCAGTCGCCCCATACGGCTCCATCGAAAAACAATTCGGTACACAACTTATCAGATTGAAAGCGGAGGAGCAAACACCCGCCATCAGCGAAGACATTGAGCGTGTCATCGATTCCGAAGTTGAGTTGCTGGGGAATGTGTGGCACCTCACTGATGACGACCGGATAATTATCCGAGACAAGCTCATCCGGGGCGCCGATCATACATTCCTGTGGGTTTCCCTGATTGTCAAAATCCTCCACGGTAGTCAAGCAGCTTCGCGGAGGAAATTCCTTCAAACTCTCAACAGCCTACCGAGTAACCTCGAAAGCGTCTACGAAAAGATCCTTGAAGATATTTGTGACCGCGAAGAGGCCAAACGGATTCTCCAAATAGTCGTCGCGGCTACACGACCCCTCACACTCGACGAGATGGACATCGCACAAGCGATTCAGCGGGATCACAAATCAATCGAGGACCTCCAGCCGTGCCGCCTGTACTCCTTCGAAAGCACGGTGAAGAACACATGCGGACTTTTCGTGAAGGTCATAGACTCGAAGATCTACCTTATCCACCAAACGGCGAAGGAGTTCCTGATCAAGGGCACAGCTACCGCCACATCTGCTACGGAAATTACCACGTGGAAGCAATCACTTTGTCCTATCGAATCAAACCTCACCCTCGCGAAGAGTTGCCTTTATTTTCTCTTGTTTAATGTCTTTGAAACCCACCCTCTGGCACTACGAGCGCAGGGATCGGATATAGATGGCTACACCATAGGGCATGTGTTTTTAGATTATGCAGCTAAAAATTGGACGGCTCACGTCCAAGAGGCCAAGATATGGGAGGATGAGAAACTCTCCGCTATTGCGTTGAAGGTTTACACGAGTGGGTCGGGGCGGCTGCTGACATGGTTCCAAGTTTACATGGCGAGCAACTGTGAGTATTGGAACTTCGATAACATGAGTGGGCTTGCAGTAGCATCATATATTGGTCAGGATGCGGTGGTGGAGCTGCTAATAGAACAGGGAGAAGACGTCAACAGTGGCCGTAGCCTATACAACAATGCTTTGAATGTGGCTGTTCGAAAGCGAAATAGGAATGTGATCATGTTGCTGCTCAACAGAGGAGCCATTGTCTTTCTATTCGGAAGTGAATATTGGAACCTTTTAGAGGTTAACAGATGTCTTTCCCTTTCCATGACTGAAACCAGAGCTAATAGTTTGCTTATATCGTGCCATAGTCTGTAAGTAGAATTGCTAGTTGGCAAAAGCGTCTCTCTGATAAAAGACTGACATTCGTGGCCACTTTCCGACAGCGAGTATGAACACTTCCTCCTCCCTACAAGCGCTGGGAGGGATCGCTGACATTCATCCCGTTTCTGTCACAGCGGGTGACCTGACCTATTTCACCCCTCCAGTCGAGGTGTACCGCTGACAGTGAGCGCTGTGCGCCTCATAGACGGTATGATGCGTATCGTTATACCTTCCTTACTCTCGACTGCACTGACCTTCGGGCACGATGGGAGAAACAGGATGTACGTAAAGCTGATGGCAATTCGCTATTCTTCGACGACAGTGCTGACACTGACGAACGACTATGATAGTTTTGTGAGTGGGCGAGATAGATGCTCATTACCCACGGCAAACATAACGGACAGCTGACCTCGGGGTTGTTTGTGATGGTAGCGGGTAGACACTCATATTACTCAGCCTAGATTGAGTAAGGAAACAAGACTAACATTGAGTTTCCCATCGAAAATAGAAAGTGAGTGCGAGGAATGGGCCTGTTTTGGCTCCTAGAGACTATACGGCTAACGTTCGGTCCACTTTGCAATAAAGTGGGTAAATGAAATAATGAGGGTCCGTCTACTACATTAAGAGTGTATCACTGATTGTCGGTTCCTGGGGAACGAAGACCGTGAGTGAACCAAATCACTTGGGTGTGCCTCTCCACATGGCTGACTTTCGGATCGCTTTGCTTTGCAGGAGTAAGTGAACCAAATCACTTGGGTGTGCCTTTCCACATGGCTGACTTTCGGATCGCTTTGCTTTGCAGGGTAAGTGAACCACATCACTTGGGTGTGCCTTTCCACATGGCTGACTTTCGGATCGCTTTGCTTTGCAGGGTAAGTGAACCACATCACTTGGGTGTGCCTTTCCACATGGCTGACTTTCGGATCGCTTTGCTTTGCAGGAAGTAAGTGAACCACATCACTTGGGTGTGCCTTTCCACATGGCTGACTTTCGGATCGCTTTGCTTTGCAGGAAGTAAGTGAACCACATCACTTGGGTGTGCCTTTCCACATGGCTGACTTTCGGATCGCTTTGCTTTGCAGGAAGTAAGTGAACCACATCACTTGGGTGTGCCTTTACACATGGCTGACTTTCGGATCGCTTTGCTTGCAGGGTAAGTGAACCACATCACTTGGCTGTGCCTTTCCACATGGCTGACTTTCGGATCGCTTTGCTTTGCAGGAAGTAAGTGAACCACATCACTTGGGTGTGCCTTTCCACATGGCTGACTTTCGGATCGCTTTGCTTTGCAGCGCGTAAGTGAACCACATCACTTGGGTGTGCCTTTCCACATGGCTGACTTTCGGATCGCTTTGCTTTGCAGGTAAGTGAACCAATCACTTGGGTGTGCCTTTCCACATGGCTGACTTTCGGATCGCTTTGCTTTGCAGGAAGTAAGTGAACCACATCACTTGGGTGTGCCTTTACACATGGCTGACTTTCGGATCGCTTTGCTTTGCAGCGCGTAAGTGAACCACATCACTTGGGTGTGCCTTTCCACATGGCGACTTTCGGATCGCTTTGCTTTGCAGGAAGTAAGTGAACCACATCACTTGGGTGTGCCTTTTCACATGGCTGACTTTCGGATCGCTTGCTCGCAGTGGGTAAGTGAACCAAATCACTGGGCGTGCCTTTCCACATGGCTGACTTTTGGCCGGCCTTCCAATATACAGGAGGTAAGAAAACCTGATCACCCGAACCTCCCGTGACATTCATCTGACCATCGCCTCTTCTTTGCGTCGCGGAGGTAAGTGAACTGAAGCACCATGCATGTGTGACGCCGGTAGGAAAGTACTGAAATATGGTGCTCCGGTTTCGCGCAGATTGTAAGCTCACTTCCTTTGAATGCTGTTCACTGTGCCCGGCGGTTGGCTCACATTGGCTTGACTTTCTTCGCAGGCGGGTAATTGAACCTCCTCGCCGTGATGATCATTGACTGATACTATCTGCCTTTCCCCCTGGCCTTTTAACGTCTTAGAAAGTACGTGACTTGTTCTATGATCCTCTTTGCTTTGTCGGTGCTAATAAAAGGTATCTGATGTTCTCAGTTTGTATGTATCATTCTTTCGGTTCATTCCGTCTGCGCCACAATTGATCGGTTCTGTTGCGAACACACGGTAGCTGGTAAGTAATATGGTTCCCATCCGCGCGTCGTACTGTGGTGCTAACGTACGGCTGATTGATTTCCGCAGGAAGTAAGGTCTTTTCGCTCAGGGCCCTTTTCTTTCTCGGAGCTGTTACCGACTGTAGGCTCTTCTTGGCCTCTAGGAGGTAAGTGGGGGTCTTTTCTGGTTGCTAGTCGTTTATTTGTCATCGTTGACCTTTTACCAGTTTGGCCTTGATGATGTTTGATCATGTTTCATGATCCTCGACATTGGAGACGGAAGTAGGAATGGAGAAGGAGGCAGAGGTGGAATAGGAGGAGCGAAAGCAAGTTTGAGGGACGACGGAGGGAAAACGATGTTAGAGAACATCGAAAGTGATGGTGGAGACTGCTTGTTATCTTGGGGCGGGGCGAACATGGTGGACTAGTGGTGAGCATCGCGGTGTCGCGGCGGTGGGCGTACTCGTATTCCTGTAATTGGGCACTTGAAGACGGTCATGTGAGATTTTACCCATCGCGACCGTTCGTTTCGCATGTGACTACTGGATCCCGAATGATTACACCGAGCTCCGTGCATGACTGTCGACAGCAATACTAAGTGGCTATTTGAAGCGGCGAGCGCAGGTATCCGCGTCAAAATGCACCGCCGCCTCTGGGTCTCGGTGCACCATTCTGTCATACCTCTGTTAAGATTACTCATATCGCCGATACCTATTTTGTATCGGATCCTCTACTTCCTCCCAGAGTAAGAGCATCAAGCGAATCTATTATATGCTGTCATGAAAGATGGATGTCGGCGAAAGACGTAGACCTGCGTGTGGAGGCCTGAAGCCGAGACGTCCGGATGACTCCCGACTCTCGGAGGTCCCGACGTGATGGTTCCGGCGAGTGCCATCTTGTGCAGGGCACCCGGAAAAGGTCGATAGGAAGCGGCTCGCACCTCTCGCGCAGGACTATCGAGCCCGAGCTGATAGGGCTTGTACGCTATGTAGAGATGTTATCCCGTCGGACCAGAACCTCGGCATTCTATGTGAAATGTCCTGAAATAGATACGCGGATTGGTAGAAGATAGAAGTACAGGTGGAAAGATAACTGTTTTGTAGCTTGCCTCTTCTCTAATCGTCCGGTCCGTCCGTCTAAACCTAGGACGTGGCGGCCAAGGCTTCTTCGGCGGACGGACGAGACGGACGGCCATCCGGCAAGCCGTGGGTAAAACACCTGATTTCGGGCGTGGCCTTGGCGGCCAAGGGAGATATGATGCCTCTAGCGCTGTGACAGGGGCCGGGCGCCGCAGCTTAGGCGTCCGAGTCAGAATACTGCTACTTTTCGTAGTAACAGCTAGAGGAGGACTGCCCATCTCTGTGCGCGGTACTGGCCAAAGGTAGTTGATCCCCACACAAAATATATCGTGATATCTCGCTCGCATATCTGCAAACGGCTAGTGAACGCCCTTATTGGGACGAGTGATCCGGATGTTATCACATGGTATGGACGGTCGTCCACTGTCGTCGAACGAGGACCGACCCGTCCGTCCCAGGCTCAGACCGTCCGGGAAAATCGTTTTAGCTATCCGTCCTGTCCGGACGATGGAGAACACTACATCAGACCCGAGCCGTGTGCTGTGATTGCTGCTACACACAGTGCTCTCCTTGCGACTGTCTACATACATTATATGCAGATTCCTCCGTCGTCCCTAAGGTTCTTTCGATTCCCGCCGCTTCAACGACTTCTTCGGCGGAGTGCTGCGCATCACTCATGAGCGACATGGCATTCCGCGCGTGAGCATGAAAAGGTCACATACATACCGAAGCGATGATCCACGCCGCAGTCGAGGAACGTTCAATCGGCTTGCTAGAAATCTCGCGATCGTTACTACTAGGTGTACACTGGACGACTGATTTCCCATGGTGGCGTGTGGACGGATGTGTCGAAAGTGCGTTCGGGGGATGGAGGCGTACACAATCGCAGGATACAACAACGGTAACGGCAACGGCAACGGCATCACAGTTCACCAAGCCGGTATACCATCTCCCATGACCCGTGAGAGACCGAAACCAAGTCCGTTTTGCGTCAGGGGTTATGTGAGTACTTATCGGATGTAGAACTACAACCCAATCCTCCAACCCTCAGCGCGCCCGCCCAAGCTCCAAGTTCCAACAGCGCAGTCCTGCTCGCATGATATGTTTACATAACTACCTGCACGCGATGACTGGGGCCCGGTTAAGTACCGAGATGCGAGATGGCTCCGCCACCGCAGCTCCGCTGCAACGTGCCGCTACTCCCGCCGCTACTCCCGCCACTATATACCCCCGCGGCCGCTCACCCCGGTCGGGAATAAAGGATTTGCACCTTGTGCCTGCAGACGCCGTGCTGCTAACTAACTACTCACCGGCGGTCAGCCTACGGGTACTTGCTACTATCGATAGATAAGTAGATAAGTAGGTACGTAGGTACCGGTAATGATGTCGGGACTCCGAACTCGGAGCCGGGACTCGGGACTCCGGACTCGGGAGTTGGAGATCGGGACTCCGGACTCGGGAATCGGGACTCGGCAGTTGGGAGTGCTGCTGGGTAGGTACCTGCAGCTTGGTATCTTACTATCCTGATATCGTGATATCGGCACTGTCTACATGTGTTCGATATTGAGCATCATCGTTGTCTTCCGGCGATGGCTGTGACTGATTGACTGACTGGCCGGTGTTGCCGGAGTTGGTTCGGCCATGGGCGCCCGGGCAGCCCACTGTTCGGGTCTGCGGCGCGTTCCGATCACGATGATGGATTATCTCCATTCGCACTATGAGATTCTCTTCATTCGTATGATCGTATCATGGTTTGCGGCCCAAATCCCCAA